TGGACCAAATATCTCAATAAATTGCCACATTAGACTCTACTAGACTCTAGGTTTTTTGTTTTGTTTTGTTTTGTTTTGCGTTGAGATAAATGATGTGGTGTTTGTGGCTCTTCAGCTGTCCAACAACCCAGGATAGTGAACCCATCTAAGAAATTCGTAAGTGTGTCTAAGATGTATCAATATAATAGCAATGAAAAGAGACAAAGGAAATTATAGCTATGTAATGATCTAGGAAAATACAGCCGCTTATCAAATAGACATGTGTTTTTTTCGGGTTTTTTTTTTTTTTTTTTTGGTGGGACGTGCCAGCTGTGATCAGAGCTTACTCCTGACTCTGCACTCATATCCCTTCTGATATGTCTTGGAGCTATACAGGGTGCCACAGACTGAATGAAGGTCTGCATACGAATCAAGTGTTCTAACCACAGTAGTATCTCTCATACTCTGAGTTGACTAATCTTTCGCTTCTAAATCTCTTTACAATAGGAAGCAGGTTATTTTTCAAATCCAAAATTTAGTTTACTAAAAAAATATATACTGAAAATCGAACCTGTGAATTAAAGAGAGATAAAAATCAGTACAGAATAGTTAAGTTTGAGGGGTGGAGAGTTATTTCTAGATGGGAGTGCAGAATTAGTTTAACATTTATCTAGAAGAGCTCTATAATAGGGTGGTAAGCTAACAAATCTTTTGCTATGACAGATGTTCTCCATTTTCAAATGGAAGTCCTAAGTAATGTATAAAAACTAGCACTTTTGCTTAGCATTTTTTATGTTTTCTCAGCGGAATCATATATGCATAACTCCTGCATCAAGCATTGTTTTGCACACTTGTGACTGTTATATAAGTTTTATAGTACCTGTTTTATAGTACCTGTTTGTTCTCTGAATAATAATTTCTTAATAATTCTCAGATGTTTTTAATTTCTTGAATTTAAAATTCAATTTCTGGACCCAAAATTAGAGTAAAAGTGACTTCTTTCCCTGGGGTATACATTGGAAGGTACAAGTTTGATTCTAGGTACTCAATGTTTTTCTGGTCCTCTTTTCACACTTTGCCTGTCTTGCTGAGCACATTTTCCTTTACCCTCACTCATGCAGTGTCCTACATTCTTTCAATCTGATCTATTTTCCAGCATTCTTTCAGGTGATTCTATGACTTTGATCACAGATCTTCCTCCTTCCCCAACCGAATCACTTGGAAGTCCTGTTATCTTTCAGGTATTCTTTGTATGCGTGATTAGAAGAGAGCAGGAGCATTCTCTCCATATACATTCTGATCACTGTTTTGTAATTCCCATTATATATTATCTTTAGATTAATGTATGAATATATCCTGTTTACTTCTAAGGTATTGTGCCATATAACGGATAGTGTCAATTTTAAAGTTAGTGTCAATTTTAAACTCCTAGATAATAGAATCTCTGCTTGAGCAGTTTCGATTTTTGTCCAGCAACTATTATAGTATGTGATAATTAATATTCAATAGGTACACTTTCTCATTATAATATTATATATTTTCTAACTGTAACAGAGCAATCATTCAGTATTATAATGCTAAAATTTTAAAAAGTCACTTGATCACTTGATATCCTGTTACTCAGCGATTTACTCGAGTGGGCGCCAGTAATGTCTCCATTTATCCCTGTTGCGTGCTAGTGTAGTCCAATGGCATCTGCTTGTTCTAGGAACATGAAGAGCCTCAAACCGATCGTTCAGGGTCTTGACGAAGAAGTCTGACCATCTCGTAGGTGGGCGGCCACTCGATCTTTTGAAAGCCCATGGAATCCAGTCAGTAATGGCTCTAGTCCAGTGGTCGTCTCTAAATCTCATTAAGTGTCCAGTCCATCTGATTTTCGATATCTTGGCAAACAAGTCAGCATTCCTGATTCTTTTTTTTTAAATTTTTATTAGTGAGACATCATGAGGTACAGTTGTAGACTTAAAAATTTTTGTGCTTGGGTTTCAGTTATGCAATAATCATTGACAGAGTTTGGAACTCCGGATTCTTTCTGTCATTTGAGTGAAACGTGCTACTCCCAGCATAGCTCTTTCTATTCCTTTTTGAGAGACCCAGATAGCTTCTTATCCTGTTTTCTTTGGGCCCAGGTCTCTGAGGCGTATGTTTGTGCAGGAAGAAGAGTGGAATTGAAGAGATGTGCTCGGAGCCGGAGGTTCTTCATCCTCTTAGTTATTTTTTCGATGCTCTTAAAGGCTTTCCAAGCTGCTCTCTTCCTCCTGCACAACTCAGGTGCCAGTCCATTCATCATGATGATTTCTCGACCTAGGTATACATAACTGTTGCATTTGGAGATGGTTGTTCCTTTGAGAGTGAATGGAACGTCAGAAACAATACTGTTTCTCATGAACATTGTCTTTGTGAGATTCAGCTGTAATCCGACCTTTCCACACTCACTGTCGAAGTGTGGAAAAATTATTTACAAAAAGTAAAAAAATCATTTACTTCAAAAAGTAAATTATTGTAAAAGAAAAGCAAATCACAGTTTGTCATTTATATATTTTCCCTTCACTGGTTTTAGGATTCTCAAAATTTGCATTTTATTGTTCTTAAAAAAAAACATATATAAATGAGCTATAGTGTAGGATAGGGTATATGCCTTGCACGAAACTGACCTGGGTTGGATCCCCGGCATCCTGTGTCTGTCTCCCAAGCACTGCCAGGAATAATTCCTGAGTGCAGTCAGAAATAATGCCTGAGCATCACCAGTTCGGACCCAAAAAGTAGAAAAAACAAACAAACAAGAAAACATTTGTTTAATGTGCCTAGTTAAAAAGTTTCCTTTTCCAGATTATGTGTCCCAGGCCATCAAAAGCAAGGGAAGAGTCAATGGGATCCCATCCTTAAAATGGGTTCTTCATAAAGTGTTACATCTTAGCAATAGCTAATCTCTAACTGGTTAAATAACATTTCTAAAGTTGTTTAAAGTTTTTCTGAAGATCTGTAGCATGTATTGGACTGCAATTTATTTGGGGAAAATATATCAAAATGTTCAATTTGACTATGCAGAGAAAGAAGTCCAAGAGAAGGTGCAGATCAAGGAATGTTTTTACAGAATACCGTAAAGATTGTACAGCAGGTTTGGAACTTGCTTTGCATGATGTTTTTCCAGGTTCTATCACTGGCATCCCATATTGTCCCCTGAATTCTTTCAGGAACGATCCCTGAGCACAGAGCCAGGAGTAAATACTGAGTTCTGCTGTGTAGGGCCCCAAACAATAAAACAACTAAAAAGAAATAGAAAAAAGTATTTTTACAAATATGCTGAAGAAAAATGTAATAGTCCGAGTCCCAAGTTCTAAGTCATACTAGCATAATTAAGCTGTTTTAAATATTGAATAATAACTCAAATTTTATACTTTTATAAATATTAATATGCCTTTCATTGATTGAAATTGATTAAAAACCTATTAGTTGAAATGTCAGTGGAAAAATATTAGCATTATCACTGCATTTTGAGAAATATTTCATTATGAGTGAGATATTGATATTAGTTATTTTTGAGAAAGTGTTTCTAAATATAATATTAAATGTCTTTCTAAGATCCCTAAGCAAGCTTTCTAAGTGACTGTAATATGGAAGTCACTTGACTTTTGACAAATTTTAAATGCCAAATTTCTTTCTAGCTAAGAACAATGTGAAATTGGTGTTAATTCTACCATTTAATGGAAGTTTACTTATTCTATGTAGTAATAGTGAAGATCTCTACTGTTTTTTTTTTTTTTGGTATGGTATTGGCGACATCTTATTATCTCATTCCTACTTTGGACAAACTGGCAGGCTACCAAATGTAGCCTCCGGCTCCGAGCACATCTCTTCAATTCCACTCTTCTTCCTGCACAAACATACGCCTCAGAGACCTGGGCCCAAAGAAAACAGGATAAGAAGCTATCTGGGTCTCTCAAAAAGGAATAGAAAGAGCTATGCTGGGAGTAGCACGTTTCACTCAAATGACAGAAAGAATCCGGAGTTCCAACCTCTGTCAATGATTATTGCATAATTGAAACCCAAGCACAAAAATTTTTAAGTCTACAACTGTGCCTCATGATGTCTCACTAATAAAAATTAAAAAAAAAATCAGGAATGCTGACTTGTTTGCCAAGATATCGAAAATCAGATGGACTGGACACTTAATGAGATTTAGAGACGACCACTGGACTAGAGCCATTACCTTCCCACATGGCAGAGTCTGGCAAACTCCCCATGGCGTACACAATATGCCAAATACCAGTAACAACGATGGGTCTCATTCTCCTAACCCTGAAAGAGCCTTAAATATGGCACTTTTTTAAAAATCTCAGGGCTAGGACGTAGGAGACCTTACTGAGGCCTGCTTGAGGCAATCGACGAACAACAGGATGGTCGTGATCGTGATGGTATTGGTGACCAAACTTTGAGTATAAGCTCTGCAGTATCCCACATCACTGGTATACCTAGATATTTTTAATATGAATTATTAAAAAGATGTATAAACTTTAGCGTTATTTTAAGGAATGCTTCGTATCAGGATCAGGGAGATAGTTCAAAGGGTTTCAGTTTATAGTTTACATGAGGGAGCTCCAAGTATAATACTCTAGTATCTCATGACTCTCCAAGCACCATGTCATGCATAATCTCAGAGCACTGTTAGATGTTACCTGCAAGCCAACCCCAAAAATGAATTATTTTAAGAATACTAAAAGTTTATATATTAACACTTCTTTCAAGTATAGGTATTTGGTGCCATCTTTAAATACTTGTGCATCTGTATGATAATGTGCCCTACAAATGTTAAATTATGGTCATTCTAGGCAGTGATGTTTAGTAGTGTAATGCAGATTTCTTCAAATCCTCCCAGACTTGAAGCACAGTTGATTGCATTAGCAGGTATGTAACTACAAATTAACTGATGTGTCTGAGAACTGCTAGATCTCATACTCATGGGCTGTGAATTAATTTGTGGCCACAGGGGTTGCTAGGCTGAATTCTTTATGTTGTGACAGGTCAGAGAGGAAACCTTTGACAAAGCTGACTAGAGTGTCCTCAGCACTGGACTCATGGCAGATGCCAACAAGGTCATGGTGATTTTGAAGCTAGGAGGATCTTTGCAACTTGTATGAATGTGTACGTCATAATGTTTTATTCTTTCATTTTGTTCCCATCTTCCTTTCAACCTTTCCCCTATCTCTTAATCTCTTAAAATTTAATATTTATTTGCTATAGTTTTATGTCTTCTTTAGTCCCAGAGTGGACCTGGGTAAGTAAACCCTCAATAAATGCTTATCTGAATGAAAGTATTACTTTATACATCATAGTCTTATATATAACTGTAAGTAGATAAACATGGGCATTTGTGGTTATTAGAATCCAATATTGCCAATTGCTACATAAAATCGCAACTTTATATTGAGGTCTTTGGCAAAATGTAGCAGTATTAGAAAAAAATTCCAACTATTAAATATTTGACCTCTATTATTACAATACTAAAATATTAAATAAAATCATTTTATATTGCTTGTAACAAGGCTTATTGGCTTTTAGGTCTGGTCAAAAATGCTCCATTATGATAAAATATAGGGTTTTCATCTAGAAATAAACAAAACATATAAGGAAATAAGAATCAATAGGGAATGATATGCCCTGAAGAATTTAAAATATGTATCAGAGGCCTAAGTGATAGTACCATGGGGAAGACACTTGCTTTGTGTGCAGCTGACCAGGGTTCAATTCACCAGCATCCCTTATGGTCTCCTGATCTACAATTGATTCCTAAACATAGAGCTAGGAGTAACCATTGAGCATCACCAGATGTAGCCCCAATTCCAAATAAATAAAGAAATAAAATATGTTACAGGTCTCTATTAGGAGGAATTCCAAGCCTTCGTACATAAAGAGAGGGAGAGTCTAATAAGGACTGGAACTAATATGACTTCAGTAGTTTTTCTATTCACTGGAAAATCAGTGCTTCTTATTTTGAATAACACAGGTTATTAACTTTTAGGTTATTAAAGTCCAAGAGGTTTTTATTACCTTCATGTGGCAACCATTGTAACCATAGGTCTATCCACTTTCATAAGATGGGTGTTAGGTAGGATATCCTAACTAAACGGAATGTGCAGCAAATAGCAGAAAGCAAATACTTTATTTTAGGCAAGCTTGCATTGCTATTATTTTTATTCTTGACTTTTAAAAACTTAACATTGCATGCATTTAAACCCAAGATATTCAAATTCTTAATATTTTTTACCATGGTGTGCATAAAGACTATGACTACTTAAGCTTTATTAGTATGAAAGGTTCTAAAGAGGCTTAGCCAAGTAGCAATCTACATATGACTTAGTTGTACAAAGAGGCATTTTATTAATGATATAGTTTGGGGGAAAATGAGCAATCGTATGATCATGTTTATGGTTTTAATTTACTATGAGTATTTCATAGCACTAAATAAAGTTGAAGATACTAAGCTATGATTTCTGTCAGGTATTGATAAGCCACTAAAATCCCAAACCATTATTCATGTAGATCATTTTCCTATCCAAACAAAATATTTTCTTTGTTTTATATTCCTAATAGGCACGCTAAAATTATAGTCTTAAAATGAGACATTCTATGGTAAATTTTCTTGTATTCTATGAAGTTTGAAATGTTTTTCTCTTGAAAAATTACTTACTATTTTAGGTTAATTTGGAGACAACTGATATAAAATGAAATATGACATTTGGCTCAGAGAAAACATATGTCAAAAGCATTTGAGGTTGTAGCGTCCTAAACTGTCATGTTAATAGGTAAAGATTCAGGAAATGTAAAATCACACAAGAACAATGTAAAGATTGCATGCAACAGTGTAAAGCAAAATATGCAAACATTCATAGAGTTATGGAAGACATCACAATTATCCCTAGAAATGATATCTGATGGCTAATAGGATAGTTTCCATCATGCAAAAATTAGTATACTTTTTGTTTTATTGACCTGTTAATGAGTGCAAGAGGTGAGGCTTAGACATAATAACTTGAAACAAACATGACACAAGTATAAAACTCAGTCAAATCCAAAATTAAAGAAATGAAAGAAATTCAAATTGCATATGAAAAAATTGTTATTTTAGAACATTGAGTAGTTTGGGAACTATTTGTAAAGCAGTACCACTATAGCTATCACTGACTAATATATATGCCAATCTTAATCTTTATTGGAACTGATACAAATGCCTACATAAACATATTGAAGCTTTTTAACTTGGCTGATTTCACCACTCGATAAATATGACTTATCCTGTTGCAAAATGTGAAAACAACACATAGATTTGTGTATGTAAAAAATTGTGAAGAATTATTTTCTAAGAGTTTATAAAGGTATATTGAAATCTGGCTTTAAGATTAATATATAAAGTAATAAAATAATAATCAGTTCAGCAATTTTTTCTCTTGTGGAAAACACTATTTGTGAGATTAAAGTCTTTTCTAAATCTAAATCACATATATATCACATATATTGAATAGTATAAATCACATATATTTCATTACCTCATATTTTAAATTTTTTTTGTTTGTTTTGGTTTTTGGGTCACACCTAATGATGCACAGGGGTTGCTCCTGGCTCTTCACTCAGGAATTACTCCTAGTGGTGCTCAGGGGACCATATGGGATACTAGGAATCGAACCCAGGTCGACCGTGTGCAAGGCAAACGCCCTACTCACTGTGCTATCTCTCCAGCCCCCATATTTTAACATTTTCTAGCAGTGAAATTAATGTCTTATTCAAGAACTTTATTAACATACCTTTTCTTTTGTAAAGTGTTAACAAATGATAATTTTGGAAGTTTGGAACTTCATCTTAATGTCTAATTGTGATCATTGGATGAAGGACTGGAGTCTACAAATTTTATGCAAAGATATGGGGAAAAGTGAATAATTCTGTTGAAATCATTTGAGGGAAGATAGAGACTAAAATAATGACCAACCAGTGCTGGCATGGATTCTCTTTTATTATTGGTGGAAATGCCAACTGGTCCAGCCTTTTTGGAAAACAATATGGACATTCCCCTCAAAATTAGAAATTGATCTTCCATATGACCCAGCAATACCACTCCCTGGACATACCAGAGAGATGCAAAAAACACAGTAGAAATGACATCTGCACTTGTACGTTTATTGCAGCACTGTTCACAATAGCCAGAATCTGGAAAAAACCTGAGTACTAGAGAAAAGATGACTGATTAAAGAAACTTTGGTACATCTACACAATGGAATCCTATGCAGCTGTTAGAAGAGATAAAATCATGAAATTTGAATATAAGTGGATGGATCGTGTTAAGTGAAATTAGTCAGAAAGAGAGAGACAGACATAGAGTGACTGCACTCATTTGTGGAATATAAAGTAGTATAATATGAGACAAACACCTAACGACAGTAGAGATAAGGACCAGGAGGATTACACCACGGTTTAGAAGCCAGTCCTACATGCTGGGAGAAAAGGTAGTTGGGATAGAGAAGAGACTACTAAGTAAATGATGATTGAAGGGATTACCCAGGATAGGAGATATGTGCTGAAAGTAGACCAAGGACCAAACATGATGGCCTCTTAGTATCTGTATTGAAAATCATAACACCCCAAATTAGAGAGTGAGTAAGAAGGATTGTACCTGCCACAGAGGCAGGGAGTGGGATGGGACAAAGGTGGCGGGAAGGACACTGGGAACAATGGTGGTAGAAAATGTGCACTGGTGGAGGGATGAGTGTGCGATTATTGTATGACTAAAACGCAATCATGCAAGTTTGTACCTATCTCATGGTGATCAAATAAAACTTATTAAAAAATAAAATAAAATTTAAAAAAAGTTTCCACCTGTTCATAAATACTCAAACCATTTCTTTGAACTTGACTATATTAAAAAACAAAGGTTAGAAAATTTTAGGAAGAAAAAATCATCTTCCACCAAGCAAGATAAATGCATAAAATCTCATATCTAATCAAAAACTAATTAACATGCAAAGAAGCATACAAGGAAATCACAATATATGATGAGGGAAAAATTAATCAAAATCAAACCAGAACTAACACTAATGTTAAAATAAGCAGTCAAGAATATTGAAATATAGTGAAACTATGTTATATATGTTTATTCCAGTAATGAAAAAATAGAGAAAATTATCCAATTAAAACTCTGAGATTAAAAGCTATTTTTCTTTTTACAAAAGTAAATTGAAACAGTTGAATAGGACATCAGACTTTGAAGAAGAAGAAAAGATCAATGTACTTGACTATATAGAAATAGGTACTACTGGGAGGCGTGAGAATTATGGAATTAAAGAGTTAAAGCTGTTGAGATTTCATTCCTTACTTGCAGCCAACACCGCTGGATCCCCAGTACTACATAAGGTTCCCCTGAGCACTGCCAGAAACACACCTTAGCACCTCTGAGTATGGCCTAAATTAAAAAAATAAGTAAAAATAACACCATCTGGAAAAACTAATTGGTAAATATTAAGGGTAATAACAAAAATTGCATCAGTGACCTCTATTAAACAATGATGTGCCCTATACGAATATGTAAACTGGAGTATAAAGCTATAACTATACAATTCCAAGAATTGTAAAAAAAACCATGTATGATAAATATAAACAAAAAATGTTTCTAATAAAATTTAAATTGGTGAAAAATAGGAACTGTGAGAAAAAACTTAATAGCAGCCTAAAAAAACACATTAATATATAGACAAAGAAAAGAATGGTGGTGTATTTATTACTCAAATGGTTATGAGAGGACAGTGGATCAATATCTTTGGGAGTGTTGAGAACAAAATGTGGCATCTGATATTTGAAGTATCACTCTAAAATGAAAATAAAATTAGGACTTCTAATATTCTCAAATACAGAAATAATTTGTCATCATCTGACCCACATGGAATAAAATGTTAAAAATTATATCAGGCAGGAGGGAAATTCATGAGAAGAAAATATTAGTCTGTAGGATAACATTGATTTGTCCTTTCTCCCTTGCCACAGGAAGCTTAGGTTTATCAAGTTATACCCATCACAGTGCTCCTGAGTCACTCCCATTCCTTTGTTTGTCTGTAAAATCTTCCCTGTGCTCTCCTCCCCAGCCAGTTAATCACCTTTTC